CGGCTCCCAAAGTACCTGACACTCTCAGGTGACCACCTGCCAGTTCTGTCTGGTATACAGGACACTGGCACCCAAGTCTTATCTCCCTAACAACACCCGGCCAGGGTGGCAGCTGCGTAACAGGCTTCCGCCAGACCCACGGCCTCCCTCTCCTCAGGCCCCCAGGACTGGAGAGCTGAGGACCCAGAGCCTCTGTCCCAAGGGCCCCACGTGACAGGACCAGAAGCAAGAGACGAGGCTCAGGGAGATCAGGGCTCATGGGAAAGTGAACTTCCAAAGAGAGGCATCCAAGGACAGAGGGGGTGGCCTCAGAGGTGATGAGCTCCCTGTCTCTGGAGGTGTGCAAGCTTCCCGTCCAGTGCTGGAACCCAGGACGCCCTCTGCAACCCCCAAGCAATCTCTGCCCTTCTAAGAGGGCCCACAGTCACCCAAACCTTGGCCCTTCCTCTAAGGACACAAAAAGGGGTGTCCCACAGCTGGTCTTATGAAAGCTGGGGTGAGGGATACTCTGTCCAGCATCCCCCAGTCCAACAGGCCCAGCGGCCTCGCCACCTCCTCACCTCTCCCCAGTTCTCAGGGCCAGCTCCATCTCCAGGAAGGCCCGCGGGGGGCACCATGCCCAGCACATGGGGGCGGGCACCCGCCAGGGGGGCTGTGTGAGGCCGGGGCACAAAGGACCCAGGAGGCAGGCCCCGCAGGAGCCCCGGGGCCCCCCAGCCCGGCCGCACCAGCTCTAGCCGCAGCCGCAGCTCTTCCATCTCCTCCTGCTGCTCACGCAGGCGGTCGCTCTGCAAGACATGGTCCTGGCGCTGAGGGGCGCGCGGGTGGGGGCCGTGCCACAGGGATGCCGACAGGAAGGAGCGCGCGTGGGACACCGAAGGAGGGGCCTGAGGCCACCTGCTCCCTGTGGGCTGGCCCTGAGGAGGGCCAAAGAGCTCTGGCCACCTCTTGAGGTCCCCTGACCCCTACAACACCCTGCCAGATCTCCGCGTCCGTGCCAGGCGCGGCCACCAGGTGGCAGCAGGCGCAACACTGACCCAGTCACCTCGGGACGAGAGGGAGGGTCTGGCTCCCCGGCCCCATCCTGCTGCGCCTCGGGTCCCCCGGCCACCCAGGCTCGCAACCACCCCGCACACCCACGCGCGCTGCTCCGTTCCTCGTCTCCGCGCACCTGCTCCGTTGCACATGCCCCCATCTCTACCTGCCCTGGCTGATTTCCTCCCCTCCGCCCCGCCCCCCTGGCTCACTTGCACCCCCTCCGTGGACGTGGCGGCCCCACCTGCAGCTTGTACTGCTCCATGGCGTCCTCCAGGGCAGCCAGAAAGTCTCGGTTCTCTTCCTCCAGCCGGGCGACCTGGCTCTGCAGGGCCAGCAGCGCACCCTCGTCTCCCTGTGGGGCAGGGAGGCGGCGCTCTGGTCATAGACGGACGCGGGGGGCGGGCGCACAGCGGGCTGGCCGAGGACCTTCTC